GCACAGCTCGAGCGATCGTTCGAATGTCTCATCTGTTTGGCGGTGTCAGCATTTATCAAGTTGGGATCGTTCAAGTCGGTGCTAGAACTACCTATAGGTAGGTTTTGAAAGTGTTTCAAACTACCTCTCTTGCGGAGCTGTAAATGCGAGCGATGAATGAGATGCCTTCCCGTCAGTCCAGCTGCCGTCTGAAATGAAAGGGCAAGCAAGGCCGCTGGACTAGCAGCAGGAAGATACAGGCTATGTGAACTTATTGAAGTGCAATGGGCACAATATATTCAAGTTGTTGCATCAATTCCAACAATCCAAGATTTGAATCCAAACGGTTTCTCCCCCCAAACCCATAAACACTATATATAGCGCAAATAGTGATATTCTATATATGGTTCATCGTTCTGACCACAAAAAGCACGCAAATGTCAAACGCACAGATGTATGAAACAACTCATTGTTTATGAACCACGCTGAGGACCGGACCTGACCACTGTGGAACCAAACACGATCGGAATTCGCCGCTGATCGCCGCAGGCCGCAGGCCGCTGGAGCCGAGGTCTGGAATTCGGTACTGTCTATCTATTGGAATCGTCAGTTGGGGAGATCCCCAATTGGGTTACACCATGGTACACAGATTCATGATATTCATGCAAGATTGACGGCGTACCGCCGCTTGGAGGGTGCACCAACCTCTCGATCTGTGGACATACCTCTCTTCACATCGCATGGCGCCTAGACCACGTGTGACGCGTTGCTACACACTCATCGAGCTCGGTGATCACATTTGTCAAGCGCGTGTTTTTTTCTGACAGATCCGGTGGGATCCGAGGTGTTTTTTCGATTTCAAGATCTTCGTGGTTAACCCCCTTCATTCCGAGATGACACATCAAGTCGCAGAAGAGCCCCCCAAAAGTAGTTCTCCAGCAGTCTAAGCCCTTGTTGCCTACTCAAACACAAAGACCATGCATACTATACCTGAGAAGGGAGGGCACGAAAGCCAGCCTCCGTCAGGAGATATGAATTAGTCAGCGGGGGTGAATGCGAGAGCGCAGGGGAAACGTTGATAGGCCTTCAGTCAAAGGTGGGGTGGGGCGGGGTGCTTTTGTTCTTGTTGATGAAGGGGCGTTTGGAAGAGAGAAAGGGGCACCCCGACGTCAGTTAGAACCAAAATCAAGTGAGCGTTTCATATCGGGCAAAGAGCGGCCTGTGATGGGGTAGTAGAAAGCAGAAGATATAGGAATTCCCCCCCCGCTATGCCTATCCTCCACATGAACTCGCACCCCATATGGGGTGCCCTTTTGCATATGGTTAACGGGCGTCTTCATCATTGAAAAAGGGCACCCCAAGCAACTCAAAGATTTCTTGCAGTCCCTCACTGTGCCTGTCTTCCACTACATACACTCCCACCCCTGCTGCCAGACCGCTTCAATGGCCTCTGGAGCACACATCTCCCTTGCCGCTCTACAACGCACTTCTTGCTTCCCTAATAATCTCCCCACCTTTTGTCCAATCACATCCTCCCCCACTATGCCTATTCTCCACAAGAACTCCCACCCCATATGGGGCGCCCTTTAGCGTCTGGTTGACAGGCATCTTCACCGTTAAAAAAGGGCACCCAGCAACTCCAAGATTTCTTGCAATCCCTGTTTTCCTACCGCGTCCTCCTCCGCTATGCCTGTCTTCCACATGAACTCCCACCCCATATGGGGTGTTCTTTTGCGCCTGGCCAATTTGATTTAGAAAGCTAACCCACCGCATTCCTCTCCTGCCCTCAACAGATCACATCATTTCTTGCAATCCCTTCCCCACAGCATTCTGTTCCCTCTCCTGCCCTCACAGATCACATCATTTCCACAAGAAAACAGTGTCTTAAGAGACACACACCTCCCATTCACACCTGCTCAAACACTATTTCACTGGCCACCGGAGGCAAATATTCTTTTTCTGGAGGCAGTCCAGCCACTTTTCGGGCCCGTTGTCCACTCTTTCCTATCATCGACATGAAATCTAATCCCACCTCTGGCAGAAGACGGCTTACATTGCCTCCTAAGCCCCCTCATGATGCTATTGATGCACTCTTTGCTGTCAATTACATCACTTGCATCACAACACCCCAAATACTACACATGTTCAATCCCATTTCTGCCCGTTGTTTCGCTCTCCCCCACCAGGCTCTGGGCTCGCCCTCCGAAATTGCACTCTGTGCGACCACCCCCCCACACCCCCTAATACTCACTTCGTTCGCCCACCCCAACTCCATCCTAGCCTATCGGCTGGCTTTTGTGATTTATCATATTGTATCCATCAAATGGTAAAAAATGTTTTAAAAAAACATTCTGCATGTCTTGCTTCGATGAATGCAATCATCTTCTATTCAGCCTCCGCTTCAAAGGTGCCCCGTTTCGGCAACCGGCGTGGTCGGTGCGGCCGAAGGGTGTGGGCTTTTGTTCTCCTTGGTTCTTTTTCCATGTTCTGGCGGGCGAAAGTGGAGATTGCTGGCCTTTGACGATTGAACATGGCCAAACTCTGAGCATGTCAAGCCAAGGGTCATTGCAAGTGGTCATTGAATTAGCGCCAAAACTCGCAAAAGCACTAAAAGACTATACAGCATCTGGAGCATGAGCAATGCTCATTGGAAGATTGATGAAGATTGAAACAAAATCTGGCATTGCTGGAGCAACTAAAGAAATGAGTTATAGTATCAGGACGGGTTGGGGTCATCTGTACTCATTTCAAGGGTTATACATTACAAAATGTTCCAAATCACTGGCTGCTGCATGCAATTTCCAGCTTGGCCCAAAGCTACAAACCGAGAGCATCCTAAAGCGAATGTACAATGGCTGATGCAAAGGCGAGCAGCAACAATACAGCTACAACCCCTAGCATGCTAAAGAGTGATGCACGTGCCACCTTCCCGTTCTCTGGATGCTTGTCTTGCACCTCCTTCTGTTGACAGAAATGGTTGCACGCAGCTGTTGACCAAATGAAAAAGCTCACAGGGCAGAAAGCCACCGTGATACAGAAACACCATCCGAGAGCGAAGCACGTCCAGTCACCACGGTCAGGGGCTGAGTCCGCGGACGCACCCAGAGTCACTTCATGTTGAACCCGCACCGGCTGGCTTTCACGAACTTCCTGAACCTGCACAGGTGGCCCAGTCAACTGCCACTGCCCCTGGCCCTGGCCCAACTGGGCCTGAAGGGCAGCGACCTGCAAGGTGAGCTCTCGGATTCGCTTCTGTGAGTCCATCTCAACCTCTCCTTGATTGGCCATGGTGGATCAAATGGGTGGTCGAAGCCCAGTTTCACAAACGGTTTCTTTGAGCAAACACGCTACCAAGCAAGACTCACATGCCGCACAAATAAGCAATCCACCCATTCTAAAAGCAATTATCAAGCACCTAATTATGGGAAAAGAACCCAAAATGACACACTTTCCGTTAGATTGCTGCAAGCCGCGGCGCTCATCAGATCATCGGATCCCCTCGTCTGAGAACAAAGGGTCTGGAGGATTATGGTCAGGCAATGAATGTCAGGAGAAAGGCAACAAAATAGAAACACGCCATAGGTTAATAGGCATGGTTTTTCCGCTTCACATCTCATCTCCATGCCCCGCCTGACCCTTCCCGCCAGCTCGCCAGCTCGCACCTCACAGAAACATGCTTCCGGCAGCGCAGAAGCAGCGCGTGGAGATGCGGCGCTTGGATCCGTTCGACCGGACCTTGGTGGTCGATGCCGTTCTGTGAGACCCATCGACGAATCGATTCGTCCAAAAACCGGAAGGGATATATTCATATATTTATATTATATACTATATAGATCTTCCAACGTCTGCAACATGTCTGCCTCTTCATCTAAACCAAACCGCAGAAATCCTTCTCTGCTCAGGATCCGACACCCAGCCACCCGTGATGCTGCGTGGGGGTGACGAGTGCTCTCACTGTTTCCAACCCGAACCCGTCCGAGGAACCATGGAATTAGCAAAGGACGCTACTAGGGGCTCCTGGCCTTACTAGGAACAATGTTCGCTAGTAGAAACACTAGATGTTTCAAATCACGAGATCAAAACAAACAGCGAGCCGAGCCTTCAAAGCTCGTGCGCGTGGCCCAAGATTTGCCCGGCCAGATCGAAGCTTCGGCTTCGGCTTCGGCTTCGGCTTCGCTCGGCCCGACAGATAGAACGGAAACGGACCATCGCTCGCTCGCTCGCTTGCCCCGGGCCGAGGCGTCGTGAGGTTTTCGGAGCGATCGTCGGATCGACGGAATGATCGTTTGATGGTCGTCCATGTCGCTTGGATCACTTCTAAGGCTGGCGCGTGATGTTTGTTGGGTCTCGGGCGTAACGAAACTGTCAACGTCCAGCCTCTGCATGCTTGCGTCGGGTTGAGGGCTGCGCAAGCTAGAAACAGCATTCTCAAGAGAAAAGTAAAGAGGTTCAAGAAGAGTTTTGCAAAAAGGAAGAGGTCAATTTGCTTAAAGAATAGTATCGACAAGTGTGGATTCCTGTACAAAGAAGTGCCACTATAAGGAGATCATACTGAATATGCTATGTTTCTCTTGAGAAAAGTAACGACAAGCAAAGGGTTCTGGGGAATGTGTTTTTTGGTGAAGTTCTTCATGTGATTGGCGGGTGTATTCCTCAGGGTACGTGTCATTTGGTTGAAATGCCCTCAGCAAAGGATTAAAGTTTCGAAGTGTTTGCTGTCAAACCATGCTCGATCTGGTGACACTGGACGCACCTGACACGCTTGCCAGGTCTAACATCCACCTCTCTAACACGGGAACTGGTACAGATGGTGAAGTGCTGCGATGACCACTGAAGTCACAAGTGAGTCGGTAGTCTGAAAGTCCCACGAAATGGGCGTGGCAAAACCAACATCGTGTCACGAACAACGGTCCCACTTCGCTCCAAAAAGGACCACAGTGTGGTCAATCTGCACATCTTCGCACAGCACCGCGACCGGAACCCCTGCCGAGCACCGCGCTGACCAGCCGAAAGGAGGTGGTCTACGACCTCGAGGTCCACCCACCACCGAGGTCATCTGCTCTTTTCACCGTCGAAACAGGGGGTCAAATGGGTGTGGATCTGGGCCTTGGTCTTTTGTTCACAGCTGTTTCCACAAAGGAAGCCGCAACTTTTGTGTCTCGCCTGCCAGAGGCGTTGGCTACATGCCATGGTGGGCAAAATATCGCCCGGCGATATCCAGCCATGCTTGTCACTCACTTGCGTTTGTAGGTGGTGTGGTCAGGCTGAGTGTGCAACTGGCAGTCGCCTGCGTTCGAATTGTACCCGGAGCATGATTTTCCCGGGTTGAAGGCAAAATATTTGCCCTTCGACTCTGAAAGGCACTTCTCGGCACAGATCTGCCAAGCTCCTGGCATCTGGCGCATGCCAACCAGCGTATCCTGCGCCTTACCCTTCAAGGTGAACTTCCCCACCGGGTTCTCGAGTCCCACAATCATATCGTTCACAAAGATCTTGATCTTCCGGATTTTGGGAGCTACAAAACGCCAGTAGAAATCATAAACCTCGTCTTCACCGCAAAAATGTTTGCCTGGGCACTTCCAGTCCGATCCACAACCAATCACCTTGCCCATCTGGGGGCATTTTTGCTCTTTACAAGCATCCATCCCACTGATTTGACAAGTGCCCAGGGGTTCCCAGGCCCATCGGTTGTGGTGCCAATGTTGATGGAGTTTTTTTATCCCACTTCACTACCTGCCATGAGAGGAGCCTGTTGCCTTCTTCGGCCTTGGCCAGATTGTTGTCAATCCACATCTGCCAGTCCGTCAGCAAATCCAGGGCACGTTGCGCTGCAGCACCGCTGTTCTTCACGTGGACGCCGATGTTGAAGATCAGGTTGGTCTGCAGCAAAATGAGCTCCTGTGCCAAGGGAAGCATTGCTGCAGACCAGCGGTCAGTGGCACGGCTTGATTCGGCCTTGCCGAAGGAGCTGGTTTGGATCTTGTAGGACGTTTTCGCAATGTCGTGCTGGATCATGATGTTGTAGGTCAGAAGTGTCCTTTCTGCGTCTTCAGGAAACTTTCCCTTCTTTGCCTCGTCAATGGTGCTTGTTCCACCCAACATAGCAGGCATCCACTGCAATTCATCCATGACTGCTCCAAGCTCCGCCTTGTGATCGGCAACTTCTTCTTCCATTTGGGCTGAACTCATCATGGTTCCTACCTCCTCCATGATCTGTTTGTACATCTTGACCATAGGAGGATCCTCATTGTCCGGGAAGAGCGCACCACCAATCAGGCTGAAGACCATGCCTGCAATTCTTTCTGTCCCAAATTCTCTTTAAAACGTGTTTTAAAACCCATAAATAGTAACAATATATAAGACATAATCACACCTTGAGGTCTGAAATTTGCACTCCGGAAACAGGTCTGAAATACTTGTTTAAACAGTTTAAACCATCAAGCTCAAAACCCACCGTTGACTGCCTGCAACCGCCCCCAAGACTGGATTGAACATGCCGATGGCCATCGTTGCAATCCCAAAGCTCGCAGTCGCAATCTCTGCCACACTGGGCGGCTTTCCGGTCATAGCCCAGGAGCTCAGCAAATTCACGGTCGCGCCAAAGGCTTCACCCTGCAAGTCCGCTTTGTCATCCTTGTCCATTGCCTCAAGCGAATTGTGCCTTGGCAGACCCGAACGCCCCGGACAAGGTGGGTCGGATGCCGGAGGCTTGCAACAAGATCTTGTTCAGACCATGGGCTGTGAGTTTCAGATGATCCTGGGCTTCAAGGTCCAGTTCAGACCTAGCGTTGCTCAATGCCTTCTGGACGTTTAAACTGATGAGCTGCTGCTCAAAAGCAGCTGCGGCCACATGGCTTACCCCTTCCATGTCCCAGAGCGACTGGTTCTCGCAGGAAGTTGCGTGCATCTTCACTGCAGAGGTACCGGTAAACGCCAGGAATGTCCAGATCAAACGCATCTTCATTGCACTCGGCATGGCCACTTCGTTGGTCTACGGAGGGCCAAAAACTAAAAGTCGAAGTCAATCAACGTGATTTCGAGCCTCGGAAATCACACAATTATCGAGTTCTTGATGCAAGTTTGATAGGTCTCAAACTCCTGCATCTCTGATGACGACCACATTTTTTTGAACATCTCAAAAGTGGAGATGTTGCTGTCATGTCAACAGCTGACCTCCAATCCGCAGTTTTTGAGCTACAAAGTGACATAGCACACATAAAACCAACACACTTATAAACGATCTTTGATCCAGCCAAACCGAGGTCCAGGCAGCTGAGCACCGTGGCACACGTCCGGTCTCGTGGGCTCCGTCTTGGTCCGGTCTAAGTGGGCGAAACGCCCGGACCCCGGTCCCGCGTAGAGGGGCGAAGGCGGGGCCTTCGGCGGTGTTCGGTCGTTTTGGAGGGTGGTTTTTGGAGGTTTTGAGTGCCTCTTTGGGAGAAAGGAACTTGAGTTTTGTGACGTCAACAAGATTAAAACGGTGGAATGGCCCCTTGCCCCCTCACGGGGGTGGTCACCATGGTCTAACAGCAACTAAACTGAGTGCAATCGGCTTCAAAAACTGAACTGAGTCCGGGGCATTGCCCAAACTGCCTAACAAGCCATCTCCTTGGCTTCCGAAAGGGGCTTTCCTCGATGGCTCGCAAGACACTTGAGCACCCAGGCGCCGGCCTCGGCTGTTTGAAACACAGGAAGGCCCAACAAAGCCGAGATCGTTACTAACTGGCTCTAACGGACCTCCGGAGGAAGACAAATGGGTAGTTCAAGCTTCAAAATTCAGGGTGCCAAGTGCTAGGTTCGACCACTTTGATCATTGAATCGTGAGGTTTTCTCTTTGGAGCGATCGTCAGATCGACGGAACCATCGTTCAAACGTCCATGTCGCTTTGATCAATCCAATGGCAACACTGTTTCTCACTGTGAAAGGACTGTGAAAGGCCTTGTGAAAGGTATGGACAGCCTCAAACCCATCGGGATCCATCGGTCCTTTTCTCTCTCGGCCGGCCAATGTGCAGCAATTCGCTGGCACACTGCCTGTGGCCGGCTAAGTTGCTCCTACAGACCCTCTGGCCATTGCAGGCTTGGCCGTTCGCTTGGCCATTCCAGAAATACAGTGGGGGTCGGCCCAGGTGGTCCGCAGTCTCTCGGCCCGCTGGCGCCCGCTTTGGGGCACAGGACTGGGAAGGCCGAATCCGGAGCTTTCAGGAAATGTAGCGAAGACGGGCCGAACGTGAAAAGATCTGAAAACTCTGTTCAAGTGGCATCACCAAACTGTAATCATAAGCCAAACATGTGAAGAACGTGAAAAAGCTAGACATCTCTACAAACTCTCTGCTGCGGGCTTTGCCCGTGCATTAACAAAACATTGCATTTGTCCGATGAGCTAGTACAAAAACAAATTACGTTACTTCGAGTGATCCCCACCATGACATTCTATCTGACATATCTTCTGACATTCTATCTGGCATATCTCCTGACACTCTATCTGGCATATCTTCTGACATTCTATCTGGCATATCTTCTGACA